GTATCTTAAAGTTCACTTCGATGGGTAATGTGGGTCATGACTAAGATGAAAATTCAGTCCGGCACTCGGTTCTTACAGTAAGCCCCTGGCTTACCCCACGACCCACCCCCGTTTCCTTGCCCAAAGCCCCTTTTCGACGCGTCGTATATGGGTCCTTGCCCAAAGCCCTTTTTCGACGCGTCGTATATGTGACGGGTAAAAACTTGCGTGTTAACACGTGCTGTATTACTGTAAGAGCCCAGTGCCGGGCTGAATTTTCGTTCCTGTATGTTCATAGGGAATCGCCATGAAGGAAGGTTCACGATGAAGAGATTAACGTGGATTGGGTTGGGCCGTTCAGTCGAAGTTCCGGTTATAGTGGTGGCGATGAACGGAGGAAAAAGGGCCAAAAGCGCTTACGCTAGCATGGAAAGGCTGGGACATGGTTGTTGAGGTTTTGATAGGTTTTTTATGAAGCCTTTGATATGTCGGACTGTAAAGCACGTTCAATCTGATAGTTCTCGGCGCAATGAACTGGTAGCCGTTTTTGATGGCTCAATTCAGCTGTGGTTTGAAAGGACAGCATGTAAGGATTAAGTTTTACGTCTGTTAGATCACACGTTCAGATTCGGAAGGTTAGCATGCTCTTTGATGTGTCTAAGTAAACATATTCGAGTCCAATTCAGCGTGCAAAACTGAAAACTATTCATTGTAAGCCCTCGACACAGTAAATATTATATAACATCTGAAGTTTCTATGAAATTTGCTCTCTCTCTATCAACCGTCTCTTTCACCCTCTAATATGTGATATGCTCTTTCCAAAATTATTTCTATTTGAAGGGTCGCGAGCTGTGCTTGTTCGTCATCTTCTACACGGTTGCTGTCATCTTGATAGTGTTGATGTTCGAGCTGTGCATGCCAGTACTATTCAATCCAAATTATCCTGACATGGAATGACTTTGTGGTAATAACTGGCATACCTGCAGTGTTCCCGTGGTACACTCAGCACTTGATGTAAATAAGGCCTTTAGACAGCACAACTTTCATTCCTCGCTCAGCGCCAGAACTGACTGAAGACCGATCTTGACGAACCTAGTATTGCTGCTTCTCAGAAGCAGCTGAAGGGCAAGGAGATGAAGTGTAGGGGATAAGGCCTTTTGGGGTTGATCAATCCTGTTCTCGGGATGCACCATTTCGTTTGACTTCCCCTCAGAGATGTAGTGGCCTGTGGAAGTGGAATGGAGAGATTGGTCGGCCTGAATTGATGTTGGTACCGGTACGATCCCTGGACCATAGCGTGCCATACGCCATTTGCGCCCACAATTATTAGATAGTATCATGATTGATTACAAGAAATTTCCCCTAATGCCTATAAATCCGAGCAACCACAGAAGGTCAACAAACGGGTGTTTAATGAGGGTAGAATTCTCATATGGAGAAGCCATGGCAATTTTTTTTACCGTGATGGCAAGAATTTTCTATGGTCCCAATGCTCACAGTAGATCCACTACTGCTTCATACTACAAGTAGTCACCAAATGTAATATGACAGGTGATAGTTGCTAACAGTACGAAGCAGTAATGGGATCACGGTAAAGGTCTGTATCCATTCTGAATTTCCATTTTGTATTCCCGTTATCAGCAATACATCCCATAGCCGACGTTGTCGTTTAAATCTTCGAACCGAAAGACCCCCATACAAAAAACATACTCGAAATGAATATGCTCTTTCATGATGTACCGCTCAGTTGTATTGTTAGCTTCCGGATGGCACTATCAAGTACGGGTGGGGCACGAATGTATGTACATTTTATCTGTATTGTTATAGTGATGTTATTTGAGTTGTATTAATAACGTTATTCGAAGATATAGATGGTGGAATTGACTTGTTCCTTCTATTAAGCATAAATATTATTGAAATTTTGTTTTACTGAGAACAAACCGAATCAGAAACATCTTGACTTTCATTTTATTCCGTGAACGAAAAAAAAACTTGTCGTTCTTCAGTTTTGTCCTGTTGTGTAGACGTTTCTATGGGACCACTAAAAACTCATGATTTTAGATGTATAAATCAATCACAACTCTGGATATGGAAGATGTAAAAGAACTGTTCTGATATGACTTGTTGATCGCACGATTTATCGGCTTCCGAGTTCCCTAGATTCGTCGGTGTGAGACGTTTATACTTGAACTCATCCGCGGTGGAGCACGAAATTGAAGTTGATTGAAGTTGGGGGTGGGGGGGGGGGGGGGGGGGGNAATTCATTTTTCACCGGTAGGTTCACCCGCTCTTATCTATGGAATTTTAGGGTACTAAACTGTACTCATCAGTGGACTCTTGGTAATATCCTGCCTTTTCCTGCGGGAGGACCCGAAAAGTATTATAAATACCCAGATATAACTGGGAAGATACTAACAATAAGACGATGGAGCCTGTCACAAAACGACTGGATCGAAGCGAGAACCCCAGGGGATAGGCAGTTATTATGCTGTTGAAAATCTTCTTGCTCTGCTCAAAATTTTCGAGCGGAATCTAATTGTTAATTGTGACATTTTTTTGATTCTTTTGTTTTGACCTTCACGTTTTATGTGGATTTCTAAGATTATGTCGCAGTCATGAAGGCTTCTCGAAAAAGTCACCCCACTATAAATAGTTTACTGGAAGGGAAAGTTTTTTAGATCGAAATTTTAACAACTGTCAACAACAACTATCAATCGAATTGTTTTCTGTATACTACAAGAACTCGGTCTTGAGAATTTGATAACTCTCCATGATCCTGCATTTTGCATACGGGAACCACACGGTATGTTTGCTTGAAAACATTCATCATCTAACGTTATTGCGTCCATTATTGAGGTTGGAATACTCAATGATAATCCAATGAAACATTGCTTTCTTTTGTAAGTGTTGTAGAATCAGTCGTAAGTCATTCTTTCTCTCAAAATAACATCGTGGAACGATCGCCCTATAAAATTCATTAGATTTTCTTTTGACATAAATCGAATGAGTAAAGACGATTCAAACGGAAATATCAGTCTGAAGAGCTTCATTCTAACCACAATGCCAAGGAACTCGTGTTCGTAGATTTTTTGGTAGTGGAGAGTGAAGGCGGCTGACGATACTGACTAACGAGTATCGTAAAAGGTCCATAACAATTCCCGTACTCGCACCGCACTTTGCATTTCCTTTTCCACTTCTTGCACTTGGTCTTCCAATGGGTCCAGCTCGCGAATTGCGGATAGTAGTCTTTCCTTTTCTCTGTCTTGATTCTTCCATCCAGGTGTCAAATTGTGTAGCACCTGGTGTCAGAAATGGAGTTGGGAACTCGCGAACGTTGCATTTAGGAAGATTTGTACTCACCAGCAAGAACGCCACAACGTCAGTAGAATGGGTCGACTACATCTCTATGGTTCTGGGGGAGTCCGAATCGTCTGCTCATTATTCCGAACGTGGATTCAATCACTTGCCGGGCACTGCAAAGAAAATTAAGTTGTCAGAAACAATGGGAAAAACTAGCTTTCACCTGCTGTGCTTTGCGTTGAATCTCCTTTTGCTAGGTGGGTCCGTGCTAGTAGGCGTATATGGTCGAACAAAGCAGTACCCCTGCGCAAAACCACAGTCTACCAATATGTGGTACGCACTGGGCCAATATTTTCCAAGTCTCGTGGGCATGAAACGAATGATCGTTGTTGTCGATCAGTCTCTGGACTAGTTGCATTTTATGGTATGAAGACACCTTTGCCACTCGTTGAATACCTTTATGCTCGACCTCCTGTAAACACCTGTCTCCCACGCGACCTGGTGCCCCGACATCAAAGGCGAAAATGCGGTGATCGCAATCCTCTAGGGCGAACAGGATGATGGAATGAATGCCCTTGTAGTTGAAATACGACCCTTCATAGTGGGCAGGCTTCCGCAATTCGCATTCCTACTGTATTGGAACCACTTGTGGAATCAATTGTTTCTCACCTTGATATTTATATGTTTCCAACCTTGAATTCCACAGTCATCGAATAATCGCATCTCGCCTGCGNCCTCTAGGGCGAACAGGATGATGGAATGAATGCCCTTGTAGTTGGAATACGACCCTTCATAGTGGGCAGGCTTCCGCAATTCGCATTCCTACTTTATTGGAACCACTTGTGGAATCAATTGTTTCTTACCTTGATATTTATATGTTTCCAACCTTGAATTCCACAGTCATCGAATAATCGCATCTCGCCTGCGTTTTAACAACAACATCTTCTAATTGCTATCTAGTGAAAGGAAGGAGTGCTTCGCGATACAAAACTTGAAAGATCTACTCTTTGGAAAGCATCCAGTTCTTGCTATTCATCTTTTGTTGCCTCACCGCTCCGTATAGCACTTGCCACTTCATAAACAATGCTCTGAACTGTTGATACTCCGCAGTGGACTTCTTCGGATAGAGCTGAAAACGTGTGCCCGTGTCCGACGTACCCTGAATTGAGATGGTCAAAAATTCCGCGCGGTGACTCCCTGCCCTCGTTTGTTGTGACATCAAGAAAATAAAAAGCCGTTGACGAGAGCTGATTGGTGACGCATGTGTTAGAGGATGTCCAAGCAACAGGGCAAGTCTTTCATGTAGGCGTTTGAATTCTGTCGGGAAAGGCCTCGTATAATGTTCGAACTTTGGTACAATGTTCGAACTTACGATCATCAAACGCTGCAAAGTACTCGTCGAACGTCCTCGTTCTGTCACCAAGAAACGGCACGTGCTTCCTGTCTGCGTCCACTGCTTTGTCGGTAGACGCGATCCAAATCTTCTAAGACATCCAACAACACTCGAATACACTCGTTAGCCATCTAGACCACTTATTATTACCGCCTCCNNGCCATCCTCGCCGGATCTCTTTTTCTTTGACGTCTAACTGAACTATAGCTTTCATACCCTCAGCTGCTAGACAGGGTGGCTGGGACGTGGACTGGTGGGTGTGTGCTTGGTGCCACCATCTCAGCTCCAGGCGGCTCATCTAGGGATTCCAGAGCCAACGTTATCGTCAATGTTCGAACCCGTGCTCCTAGAATGAAATAGCTGCAAATCCATCTCACTATCGCACTTTGGATAGCACCCTGTATATTCCGTTTCCTCTAGAAATTTTAACGCATCCTCATAAGGCCAATGTGTCAGAACAGAACCTGTTTCCTTTCAATCCTCCTTCAACGTATGACATCCAGCATAAAGTGGTTGCAGGTATAGGTATATGTCGCCACGGCCAATAATACAGATGCCACGCGTTAGAATACCAACAAGACGGTGCCCTCAAAGCAAACTTCATTAAGCCCTCTCATTCCTGGGTAATTAAAGCATAACATGTATGAGAAACAACAATTAATGCGATCATTTAGAAAAACTCCAACCGGTAAATGAGACGAGTCAAGGGAATGGAGCGCAATAGAGAATTGTGAAACATCAATCAATGAGTTTATGAAAGTCTTCAATCAATGAGAACATATACAACATGTATAGGAGAAACATCAGTACGTGAAGAGGGTCAGAGGAAAAGGAGCGCAATAAAAATTGTGGAACAACGGTCAATAACAGAAACAAACAATAAATGAGAATGGATAAAGGAAGAGAGCATCTTAGAGGATTGCGAAATAGGAGGGTGTCGATCGCACCTGAAAATATAGGGGAGCCTCCGTTGCGTGCCGCGTGCGCGACGTTTGGCCCGTTGCCAAAAATGGTAGGTACTCCTCGATTTGACATGTTTCACAACTGCTCGCTCAAATATTACATCTGTAATCTTTATTCTGTTTCTTGATCGTTCGCTTCGATTCGCGTTTCTTTCCGCATGATTTTTCTTCGGAATTGTTTGTGAAAAGGTGTTAATATAATAAGAGCCTGTTATGATTCATGCTTGATCTACAAAGAAATCCAATGAAAAGCCCAGCTCCAATAATAAGCACCACTGATGCTGCCAATCGCAGCGAAGATTCATCGCATCCTTTTTTCGTTTCAATAAAAAAACAATCAACAAACAAGGTTTGTGCAACGGTTGCCTAGCTTTATACAAAAATTGCCCACCTTCTATAAGCTGTCATAAATGAAGGTATGAGGAACCATAGCAAGGATTGAGTCCTAAAATTCGAACTCAAAAATTTCAAAAAAATAAAAGTATAGAAATTGGGTTGTCCAATTTGTACGAATATATACGAATAACTCGAATAGCGCTAGTATAGCCGCACTTCGCCCTTGTCCTGCTGCCACGCGGTTGTCTGTGCTTTTCTTCTCCCAAGTTCCAAACAAGGACCACGAGTACAAGACTACTTTATCTCACTCAAACTTGGGTAATTAAACCATTGATGCAAAGTGTATACCTCAGTACACCAATATCAAAAACTATATGATACTGACGAAATATATGTCATCCAGAATATGATATGGCTAAAGATAAACATAAGAGTGAGATTGATATAGAATAGAAGGTAAAGATAAGATACAAAAAAGCCTGTGAGGTTACACTGATAATAATGAGCTTAAACAAGTCCATGACCTAAAATCGCTATAAAACAAACCAGTAAGTACATAGAAACAAATTAAGTAGAACCAAAAGACAGTGTGATAGGTGTGCCGACGTGTAGGATATGACTGGCTATCCGTTTTNTTTGGATTTATTATTTGTTTCAGATCAGATGCTCTGTTCTGTTTGACGCTGACCTTGCTCGTAAGCTGTTACGGGAGATCCATTTCAGAGAGGTATAATGTTGTTCGTTCCGGAAAGGCATTTTGTCATCAGCGACAACCTGACGCCACAATAGAAACGTAAAAAGGCTATGCGAAAGCGTTCATGTTAGGAGACCACATAAGGTTTGTTAACTTGGACACCTATCTCAGTTTGAAGTCGATACCGTCATACATTTACGCAGACTGTTGTTCTGTAGATATGGAAATATATGGATTTTGCGTATAAAAAAGTTAGCAGTGGTATATTACTCTTTTAAATTTGGCTGCTTCGAAAAAGTTCGTTACAAAAATGTACTTTCGGCAGTCCGCTCCAAATTCAACAGACTGTACTCGACGTCTCTAATGCTCATGCTAGAGGGCAGAAACGATAATGCGCAGGCTTTGCGGGTTAATAGCAGTTCTTACAAAGGAGAGCCAGTGATAAATTTCATGGCTTAATATCAAATAGGAGAGAGGCCCTGGAATGAGTGAAATGCTGTGCCGATGAGAAAAGCTTGAGTGAAGAAAAATTCGGCTCAAAAGATACTCGGAAATAATGGAAAATACACGACAAAATTGAATTGTCTAGCTTGTCTAGCTGTCTAGCACAAAAATTGTCTAGCTTCTACAAACTGTCATAAGTAAAGGTATGAGGAAAAATAGGGGGGAATGAGACATAAATTCGGGAAAAATTAATAGCGAATTGGAGTAATGTAACGACCGGGCATGAACATTGCGAAACAGTATGCAAAGAATAACAGAAGAACAAAAATCAATTTAACTAATGAAGAAGGAGTTAGGTCTCAAAAGAATATAACAACTTTATTTTATAGCTGTGCTTATGCTCTACCCCCAACTTCGTCTTTGCCAAGGCCTCGCATATTCCGGGAGGAGGATGCATCCCCAGGTTGTCATGCCTTGACCGGCTTCCCACCACAGGTTATAGATGTCAAACCAGATTAAATGAGTAATTATGTAGAAAGAGACTTTAGAGACAATATTTATTGTCAACACTCCTGCTCAAAAAACATTCCTCGCTGGGAACTTACTGACACATGCGATCAGGCTGTATAAAGTAAAAGGATAAAGTTTTTGACGTTAATCAATCCCGTCTGAGGGATCTTCTTTCATACAGGATCGTAGTGGTGTAAGAATGCATATGAGGCCTGAACAGTGACTTGCAGTGGCCACCCCATGTACAAGTCAGTGCCTTTATCCCCCGACGAGTCTGGCACCACGACTCTTGAGGGATGGAATGCTTGGCTGGCCAGGGCGGAACTCGATCCGGAATTCCAACCTGTAATCATGCGTGTGAGATTATGCGCCACTAGCCACCACACCCCCTCCTCCCATCAGGTTGTATATTATTAATAATTTGAGCAAATGGGTGCCCTTCACTTATCACAATTTTTGTATTTCGTTATACTTTTCATAGAACCCTTTCTATGTGCATGTCATCTATGTTACCGAAGCGTCTCATTGGAGTTAAGCATCTCGCTCGCTTGGTCCAGCTTTACTTCATACAACTGTTACAGAAAAATCTGATTCAGTGCTCGTTCCCGGACTTGAACCCAACACTTAACCTCCAGCACTTGACTGATGAATAATAGACGATAGAGCAATAGGCGACTCAAGGGTTTCATGTCATGAGCAGTTGATGGTCGTACTCATTACCGTAGCGATCCAAAGGCATCTTCTACAGTAAATGAAATACTGTAAGAGCCAGAATCACTGCAACTTGTTGAAGCCCGGTTCAACACTGAGTCCAGGCTTACTCCTTTGAGGTACATATTGACGGAGATATACTATATTCGGGTTGAAAGTATTAGGTTGATGCATAATTATTGCGGATTTTTTCGCGGCTTTTTTTCTCTTGAAAGAATTTGACTATTGAGTTCGGGCTTTTTCTAGAAATGATCTACTTTATTTCCTCTACAAGAATATACTCAAAAAACCATACGCATATTTGCGAAATTAGGCTTAACTACTTCGAGGAAGATTGGAAGGTGGCACAGTC